TGATTGCCTACTGTGCAGTTGGGCCAAATAACATCAGCAGAGTGTGGAGTGGTGTATGAGCTCTCAACAAAAACGATCCAGTCTTACTATGTTGGTGTTGTTGTCAAAGAAAGAGACAAAGGTGATGTTGGGGTTGATTTTTTCCAGAAGAAAGGGCAAAAAGAGCCCACACTTTGTAAAACCAGCAGTGGAAGATATTTCTTCTGTCCTTATTGACTCAATCAGAGCCATTTTACCTCCTTCCACATTCTGAATTCAGAGATACTATTGCAAGAACCATAGAGGTGATATCTGTTTCTATGGTGACTTTGGACACTTGGGTGGTCTTAATTTCCGTAAAATTCCATATTTGTGCCGTTGTGAGGAGTGTATTGTTTTGTTTTTAGTTTGTTTAGGTTCCGATAGCCCTGGTAACAGATGTCACCTGTGACTCACTTTTCCCCAGGGGGCCCATTTCTCCCCACAGGGGGAGGGGGGCACTTCTCCCCACCCATGGCCCACTTCTCCCCACCCATGGCCCACTTCTCCCCACCCATGGCCCACTTCTCCCCACTTGTAATGTTGACTTCAGCACCCTATGATACCATAATCATTCTGTCTCTGTTGTATCACGTATAACTGGTTTTTAAACAGAATAAATGTAGTTTAGGTTGATATAAAGCATTTTTTTCTTTGTCGTTTCATTTTTTAGTTATTTCGTGGTTTTTTTCAAACTCCTCCCACGGTGGCCCACTTCTCACACTCTCTAATTTTAATTCAGTTTAGATCTAAATAGGGGGCTCTCGTGGCCTAGAGGTTAAGGTGTTGGCCTCTCATTCAAAGGTCCCGGGTTCGATTCCGGGTAGCGACCAAAAAATTTTCTTCTCTAAAATTGTCTCCTTTCACATCCTTTCCTGATCTCTAACAATGTTCTATTGTCTGCTTTCATTTCCACTTTCTGCCCCCACCCCCTCACCTCCTTTGCCCCCTCCTCTGGGCTCCTGACTCTTTCTGCAGCCTTTCTACTGCTACTCCTTGGCTCCTCCTAACTGCTGTCTTTCTGCCACACCCCTGATCTTCTGGTAGGAAAGATCTACACCTAGCCTTCTCGGACAAGGGCGAAAAATCTCGGAGGGCCCGTGTGCAAGTTGCGCACGTTAAAGATCCCTTGGTGGTCTAAAATCGATAAGAGTAGGCTTCGGCCGCCACCCGGGCAAAATTCAAAATTTCCTACCAACGAAAAAGTATTAGGTGTGTCCCGCGCGCTCATATGACCTTATGCAGTTGCGAGCGCCGTAAAACCCTATACTAAACAAACAAACAAACAAAGATCTAAATAAGAAACACACTACAAGGGCACTGAGTGCAAACGGGACCGCAATCAGGAGTGCCCAAGTTACAACACACACACGCTTTCATTCATGGTGAATACAAAGGTGTGTGTTTTGAAACAAATTTTCACTGAATAATACGCTATTTATTAAGCTTTATCTACTTATCCATCAATTAACTTACCTTTCAGGGTCTTTAGGAAAACGCAAAAAAGCTAATTCAGGTGGTCTGGTTTAAAAAAAAAAATAGTGCAGTTTATTGCGGCACACCACTTACAGTGTGTGTTCTTAGGATCAGCCATGTTTGTTTGAGTTTACCGCCCCAGTTCGCTGTTGTCACGGGATTGGTCAGATTCGCTGTCTAGCCCAAGCTGTACTGTCTCGTTTACATTGCTAGGTCTCTGATGATTAAAAGTGCGCAGCCTGCTTTTACTCCGTTAATATCAGATGGATAAATCTGCTTCTACTCTCTCAACATCTGATGAAAAAGCTACGTCTACTCCGCCAATATCTGACGAATAAAACTCCGTCAACATCTGGTACCCAATCGTTTCCGACCCCATCATTGTCCGATATCTAACCTTCCTGTGTCTCCTCATATTTTCAAGGTATTTCCCAAAGTTCAAACATCAAAGGAGACGGGGGAGGGGGGGGGGGGTGGACGAAGGAAAAGTCAATGAGTGCTACAGCAGCCCCTGAGAGTACAAAAAGGATGACGTGGATTTAACTGCACCCCTTCTGTAATTTGGGAACATCGTCACTGTCAAATACCCAGACGTAGGCCGTATAAATTAAAATAATTTCAGTTTGAGCCCTGTGCAAAACACTCAAAACTATTTCTTTGCAACATATACCCTATTCGCGGTACCCCTTTCGAGCTACTCTAATATAGCTATAACTCTAATAAGTAGTCACAAACACTGATTATGTAAGCTAACAGTTGGAGTGGTATTGTGTAAAGCGCATAGAGCCTGCTGTTGAGCGGGGATATGCGCTATACAAATGCTATCTATTATTATTATTATTATTGTCCGACTCAAAAGATGACTCATAATAAAATCGTTTTCTGCTGTGAGTGCTTTTTTTTTCTCGCTCTATAATCAGGTCATGACATGATTTCATGGTCACGAAAAGCTAGATGAATATAGGGTCTAGCCAAATTTGAAACCAGATTGCTAATACATAATTTGTAGTGTTGCCATCTCTGTTTCTTTGCCTTCAGTTTGTGTATTCACATCTTTAGTTAAATTTACTGTTGAATATTTTTGAGATAATAATTATTCCCACAGTGCGTTTAATGGGGGGGGGGGGGGGGGGGGGGGATATATATGGGGGCATCCCCCTTATATATAAAGAAGGAGATATTTTCTTGATAATTTTTTGCCAGCTGAACATTATGAATTTAGGATTTGTTCCCTTTAAATTCACACCTCAGTGATGCCACCCAGAATAAGAAGTTTTCTAATGTTCCTGTTGGAAAGTTTTTCGTGTGTGGCCTCATTTCTACCCTCTGGTCAAGGCGGTCATAGTCATAACCGCCTAGCCTCTGGTTCTTTGTCACGCTTTGATTACCCTATCAAACAAGTGATCAGTCTTCGCCCTTGGTAAATGATTATGTCACCTTGTGTAAGAGATATAATATATTTTATGTTACACCACTTGCTCAAAAACGTAGGCCTACCACAGGCAATGAAACAAAATTAGACCTGTGTTTTCAATTGCTGTGTCCTTTTTAGTTTGGTTGTTATAATGACTCTATGTTAAAGCCTTCAAAAATTTCTTTTCTCCCCACCCTCAGCCCTATACATTGTACATATCCCGGATGTGCGTTATCACGAAGTAGGGCCTATTATTATGCAGAGAAATTATAAGGGCCCTAGCAAAGTTTTATTTTGCCTATTTAGGTAGGCTACAAAACGAGTTGGCAAAACAGGCATGCAAATATGGCTGTCGATTTAGGTGTAGTCAAGGAGGTTACAGGAGGTTTTAAGTTCCTTGGGTGTAGCTCATAGGCCCCTTTCCCCATTACCCTGTCCAAGACGAATTTTTTTTTCTGAATCCCTTACGATTCCGTCTGACACAGTACGTAGGCTCGACTGTACGTGTAAATAACAATTTTAATTATTACTATTACTAGGTCTACATACATGGCAGTTGTCAGAGTACGTGCTGCATGAGAGCATCATTAATATCATTGGCCTTGACTTCAATCAGAGTGCTCTACTCCGGAGACGTTGGATACGATTCATTATAGGGTGGTCAAAAAGTCGTGGCGTAACTTATTGTCAAATATCTCCTTAACTATTGAACATAGCTTATCCAACGTTTGCACAATGACTTATATCAATTTGTCTTAACTGGTGAATATTTTCCAAACACACATGTACACTGTATTCTAGAAAATTCCTGAATAAATATTAATTTAAAAAATCCAAGCCGATGGTTTCTACAGCTTTTAAAAAGTTTACACCTCGGGCAATATCGCTTTTAAAAGCAAAGTCTGTCATTGTTTTCTAATCGCGACTTATTATGCTTATATTGAATGCATGTTTTGAAAACCTTTAGTGCAAAAAAAAGTGTGTTCGAGATCACTATAATTTCTTGTAATAAGTTTTGCCACTAAAAAGTGTCATTGGTGAGCTGCGATGTAGGCAAGAAGCGGGAAGTGCTGTGAACAAATCCATTTCCCGAGTGACGGAGATTGATAGTATTTTACATCTATGAAGAAAAGTTTTGTAATCTGGCCTCATTTGTTGTGGAAAAATATGATTAAGTTAAGACAAATTAATATAAACTGCTGTGCAAAGTATGAGTGACGGTGATTCACCCGTTTATTTGAAGTTGCGCCACGAATTTTTTACCGATTAACTATAATATCGGAGATGACTAGTGCACTTTTTTGTCTCCGCTATAATCAAATCAATTTAATTCTATAAAACACAATAAATTAATAGTGACATCTCATTTTACAAGAAGAAGTGCATTCTGTTAATTACTTTAGGTCCAGACAATTTCAACAATCTATAAAATAACTTGTAAAATAAGTGAAAAAGAAAGTGGCTAAAAATGAGAAAGTAATAATATATTGAGCGTGCGCGTCCTTGATTTTTCATTATAACAGAAGCCATTTTCACTTTCCTTCAAAGTCGGAGTAACAACGCGAAGGCTAGCCCTATGTAGCAAGGTAAAATTGGTCGGTTTTAAGCACAAGGGGGCAATCCCGAAAAATGCTGCTTTGAAACCACAGAATTCTACACTTCTAAGTGTAGAATTCTGTGTTTGAAACTTATCTGCAGGTAGGGTCAATGATGGGTAGGGCCAGAGACTGTCAATGACATTGCTCGCTTGTCCTAAAAAAAAGCGACCAATTATAATGGCGTGCTAAAAATAAGTATGCAATTTTCCAAAGGAAGTAGTTTCGTTTTGTCTTTTTGTGCCGAAGTGCCGGTGTTTTCGCGAATTATCGGGAAAAGGACTTAGTGCTTCCGAACATTCTAGTGTTCTTACTACTTCCTAACTTAGGTCTAAGGTATGTTTCCTATTGTAGAAAAGACGACTCAGAAACCTGCATATAAAGAGATTGATGATTTTTAAATAAGAGATTTGTATTGAATTTCACTAAAATAGTCATCCTGTACCTTTTTTACTTTTAATTTGCGACATTTACTCGCGCACTGATATTTTGAATTTGAACCTATTTATAGTCAAGCGTCATCAACAGCAACAACACAAACACCGCATATTCTTGATATTCAGGCCTAGATTCCAGTTTTCACTAGATTTCTAGAACCTAGACGCTACACTCGGCCCGTGTCAGGATTGTCACCGTTGTTCACTTACCTTCAAACGACACCGTCGAACGAACGTGTCTACCTATCTAGCAACACTGTAAGTACCGTAAGTAGGCGTGTAGGCTACAAATTTTTAGTTGGCCATGAAAATTGATGTTCACTCCATTCATCATCTTGCAAATTCATTTCCTTTTCCAGACAGAGATCTCATTGTGATTGTCATTAGATTCTAGATCTAGATCTAGATTGGAAGAGGCTAGCCGTAAGTACGGCTAGACTGGCAGTATAGCCGTCTAGCCGTACTTATTCTTATGATGGCTAGACTGACCATTTACAAAAAATAGGCCTACTGAATTGTAAATATACATTTTTAGTGTGCAGTACCTAAAGTATTTGTATTTGAGACGAAACCAGGTGCCTTAATGACAGTGCATGTATTTTAAACCTCCTGTTTTCTAATGTTAATGAAAGTGGCTATTCTCACCCGCACGGAAGTTCTCGCAAGATCAACTCCTCCCCTCTTCTCTCTCTCTGTCTCTTTCTGAATACTGTCTATCGGTGTGGACGATCAAATTGACCCAAAAAAAGTTAAAAAATGATGTTAAAACACAAAAGTAAATTAATTTGGTTGTCTACAAAGATGCTACGGCTATTTAACTTTTCGAATCGAGCCGAACTACGCGGGTCGCCATTTTGATTTGCCCGGAAATTCTCGCGCTACTCCTCTCTCTCTTTCTCTCTCTCTTTCCACTGCCCACAGACAAAATTGTACGCTTTTAGTAGGCTACAATTGTAATGGAACGTTTGTTCACGGCACAGAATTCTACAATTTTTCTGTTATCACAGTGTAGAATTCTGTGGTTTAGGGTAAACGCAAAATTTGGTGAACGCGCACCGGGTGAGAATAGCCTCAAGACTCGCCTGCACTATTCTCACTCCGGGTGAGAATAGAGGTGGCCAATGTTAATAGGGCCTAAGATAAGTACAGCTAGACTGGCAGTCTAGCCTTAAGTACGGGTAGACAGCCAGGCTAGCCGTACTTAAGGACGGCTAGACTGTCAGGCTAGCCGTACTTAATATTGATGGCTGATTTGTAAATGAAATTTTTAGTTTGCAATGCCTAATGTATTTGTATTTCAGACAAAAACCAAAAGGTGCCTTACTGATTTGCATGTATTAATGTATTTGAACCTGAATAATTACTAGATCTAGATCTAATGAGACCTGTGTACTTAACAGGCTTGAGTCGATTGGGCCAATCCTAGATCTAAGTACGGCTAGACTGGCAGTCTAGCCGTACTTAAGTACGGCTAGCCACTTCAATCTAGATTTCTAGATCTAGAATTTGGATCTACGAGGGACGTCCAGAAAGTAAGTACCGTTTTGGCCTCTTTGATTACTTTGAACATTAGCAGACCACCACCAGATCAACTCCGGTAGAAAAGGAAAGGGGGGGGGGGGGTTGATTGGGGGTGCAGGGGGGAGGGGGGTTCACCCCCCTGCTAAAGTCACAAAAATAATAGATGGGCCTAGATCTAGTTTGCGACTGTTTTTAATGCCAAAAAAAAGTATTTCCGGCTGGCGGTCTGCTAATCTTCCATTTTACCCGGTAACCTGGAACAAAGTCATGAAGTAGATCTATACAGACCCGGTAGGGGAACACTTTCGTGATTTTGGAAAGTTTCAGCTCCCAGACCCGGTGGTGGTGGTGTGTGTGTGTGTGTATGTATGTGAGAGAGACGAGAGAGAGAGAGAAATAGAGAGGGTGACTGCTAGACTAGATTGAAATTATGACATTGTTCTTGTCTTCAAATTGTGATTCCCCCAACTCCAAAACAGAGGAAAAGGAAAAACGATCGTTCATCGAAAAGACATCCGCAATCTTCATTTAGATCTAGATATCTAGATCTAGATCTAGGCTACTTCGTGACTTTGTTCCCGGTTACCAGGTCTGTATACACTCCCATATATGACTCTACTTCTCCACGTAGTCACCAGAACTGTTGAGGCATTTGTCATAGCGTGGGATGAGCTTCTGAATGCCCCCATCGTAGAAAGCTGCCGCTTGCGATGTCAGCAGCCTATGTCGAGTCTCTTCTGTGAGATCAGCGTCTGAGTCGAAGTCCTGCCCGGCCAAAAACTTTTTCAAATGCAGGAACAGATCATGAAAGTCACTCGGAGCCAGGTCTGGGCTGTTGTACGATGGGTGTTTCAACTGTTCCCCTCCGAAGGAGGCAATCAGGTTTTGGGTCTGTGCAGACTTGTGAGGAGTTGCATTGTCGTGAAGCAGAACAACGCCGTCGCTAAGCATTCCGTGTCTTTTGTTTTGATTCGCTCTACGCAGTTTTTAAGTGTGTTGCAGTACACATCAGAGTTAATTGTCATCCCATTTCCCAAAATTTCTACTAAAAAAACTCCATGCCTGTCCCAAAATACTGTACACATGCCTTTTTTTTTTCTGACGCAGCTTGTTTGAACTTTTTTGGCTGGGGCGAATCTGTATGCTTCCACTGCAACGACTGCTGCTTTGACTCAGGCGTAGAGTGGTGCAACTAGGTTTTATCGCCTGTCACAATATGAGTAAGAAAGTCATCTACTTCGTCATTGTAACTAATGTAACGAGTCAAGAATGTCAGTGCGCTGGCAGCCCGTTGATCCTTATGCGCTTGTGTCAGCTGCCTGTGTACCCAGCGTGAGCACACCTTTCGATAACCCAAATGCTCAGTGACGATTTCATGCTGAAGCGACCTTGAAATCTCTGGAAAGTTTGAAGAGAGTGAGGAAAGGGTAAAATGCCTGTCTTCCTTTACCTTCTGTCAACTTCGTTATCAAACCATCATTGACCAAAGATGGACGCCCACTCCTGGGTTCATCATGCACATTTTTTCGTCCCTCTTTGAACATGCGAACCCTTTTTCGCACCATGCTTTCGCTCATTGCATTTTCACCATACACTTCAGAAATCTGCCTCTATGAATGTCGCAAGGCTTCGTGTTCATTGCAGTCAGAAAACGAATAAGAAACCAGATTTCACTGTCAGTGTCAGCATAATTTTCAATCTTGGAAGACATGTTGAAGCTTCAAAAGGGTGTAGGATGTTTGATACAAAATGTGGCTGTGTAAACTGGCGGGGAAAAAACTGGGTGAGATGTTTTACAAGCGTTGTAGATTGTTGTTTACAACGGCAAGATGGAAGCTGAGGGCTCTTTCCGGTTCAGTATTGAACACAACAACTCACTGTGGTGCAAAATCGGGAGTATCGTAACCCAGTTCAGAGTAATCAGAGATATATGTGAAAACGGTACTTACATTCTGGACGTCCTGGTAGATTATTCAATTATTTTACAAGTACAAGTGCGGTCAGTTGTTTAACTGCTTTTGCTTTACTGCCACTTGAGTTCTTGAGTGTACTGGCAAAAACTTCCTTTCTGTAGGCCAACTAGATCTAGATTCTAGATCTAGAATCTAGATTCGTTCATAATCATAGAATTTATGAATTTATCCGCCTAGGGCATTACTAGAATCTAACTTACTATAGTATAGTGGGATAAAAAAATTCATGACACAAGTTATCCTCAATAAAGAGTAGGCCTACCATGTTTTTCCTCAATTGAGTCATGATTTAAAAACTTTTCTTCAATAATTTAAAAAAAAAAAAAAATGCCATTATAAATCTCTGTCACGCGGAAAATAGGATTATTCTCAGCACTGCCAAAATCTATATTTCCCACAATCATCTTGCATGGCATGGCCTATATACAGCTCCCCAATGGGCGCTCTTTGGAAATTGCCTACCCGTTCCATTGGCGGCCAGCCATTTGGATACTGTGATACTGTAATTTGCCATGTAAACGTGAAGATTGTTGTGTTGGTTTTTTAAAAAAAATTATTTTTGCCAGAGGGGCAAGCCCCCCCCCTCCCAACAGGGGGGCCGAGCCCCCCCTCAACCCCCCCACTGTTATGGCTAGTGCGCATTAGTAAACACGGTGGGTCCACCAAAGTTCAATCTGGCCCAAATAAATTTTTAATACAAAAAAGGCAGAAAAATATTACTGTAGTTGTAATGTGGTAGGGTTCACTTAGTCTACATGGCCACTTTTGTCCTTAGCAATCACTTCTGTTATGTAAATAAATGGGAAGGCAAAATTCTTAGTTGCAAAACTTGTGTTAAGAAATTAATTTTGTAGTGAACACATTTTTTGCACTGAAAGTTCTCAAAACATGTTTTCAATAAAGCATTAGAAAAAAATAAAATGAGCGACTTTCTTTTAAAAGCGTTAATCCCCTGACCTTTTAAAATGTGAAGAAACGACCAACTTGGATTTTTTTCATTACTATTTAAAGAATTTTCTGGAATATGGCAAGCAGGTGTTTTCAAAACTAAATGTTGATCTGTTACTGTAAGACAAATTGATGTACAGTGGAAACCTGATATAACAGGGATGGTGGGACCTGAGAAAAAGTCCTGTTATATCAGATACCTGTTAAATCAGAAATGCAAGGAAAGTAATCATTTGTGGACTAATTCAGCTGTATTTATTCATATTAGTTTCCTTTGCCACAATCACAAGTGCCCCTGGACATGGGTTTTGACCATGTGGCAGGCCTGCGCATGACACATTATGCATGCATGTAGCTTGGCTTAGGGCTAGATGAAGTCTGCAGCACACCGCAGCCCTCTCTCGCTTCTCCCACTGCATGTGTTTGCAGTGGAGTGGCTTGCTCCATCACTGCGTTTTTCTCTCTCTCTCTCTCTCTCTCTCTCTCTCTCTCTCTCTCTCTCTCTCTCTATCTCTATCTCTCTCTCTCTCTCTCTCTCTCTCTCTCTCTCTCTCTCTCTCTCTCTCTCTCTCTCTCTCTCTCTCTCTCTCTCTCTCTCTCTCTCTCTCTCTCTCTCCCTCCCTCCCTCCCTCCCTCTCTCTCTCTCTCTCTCTCTCTCTCTCTCTCTCTCTCTCTCTCTCTCTCTCTCTGTCTCCATTGTTAACGAGCCTTTGTCCCTGCTGTAACCAATTGGTCTTGGATAAGGCCCTGTTATTGCCGATAACTGTTAATGGAGACAAAGAGTAGGAAAAATCGTGGATTTAAAAAAATCCCTGTTAGTACCGGATCCCTGTTATTACTGGGCCTGTTATATAAATCGTTGTGCAAAATTTGTAGAACATGGGTGGTTGGCGGGTGCTCGAGTGTGATTTGCTCCTTCTTTCCTATCAAACATCTATGGTCCTTATCTCCCCTTCTTCTTTTTTATGTTTGTTACTCTCTTGTAACACCTCTAATCTTCTGGCGCTCATTTGACCTTATGCAGTTGCGAGTGCCATAAAACCTCTACTAAAACTAAAAATTTGTAGAACCTATGTTTGATAGTTGAGATTTGTGACAATAAGTTGCGCTACAAATTTTTTACGACATTGTAGTTGTAAAATGTGAATTTGTCAGTTTGTATTATATTTAAGCTATGGAAAGCACCTAGCACACCTCTGTGATGGGCCCAAATTTGGATGACGTATTTCCGTCATCTATTTTTGTCATCTTCCGGAGTTTCCCTCACAAGTTGACTAGATCTATCTCCTTTTAATATTATTCACCGGGAATGCTGGTGACAAAGTTACTAAAATAAAAAATCAGCGTGTTGTAAACGGCTATTACCAAATCAACTGTTATTTAATTCTGTTTATAGATTAATTATAGATGCATTATCAACATGTTTCAGGTATAGTGTATTGATAAACTCGATATATCATGAGGGATGAGACAAAAAAAACATTGGATATGTGTGATGTTATGACCAATTGAAGATGAAAAATGACAATGTTGGTGTCACCAAAACTTTAATAACATCACTTATATTGTCAAGGATTGATTATTGCAATTCCTTACTGGCTGGTGTACCTGATGAACAGTTACAACAACTACAAAGAGTACAAAATATTGCTGCCAAAATAATTACTAAAAAACTAAAGCATGATCATGTGACTCCTATTTTGAAAGCATTACACTGGCTCCCAGTGAAAGAGCGTATCATATATAAAATCTGTTTAACTTGCTACAAGTGCTTAAATGATTTATCACCGGACTATCTAAAACAGCTTTTAACACCCTATGTGCCTCCTAGAACGCTCAGATCATCTAGTGACAAAACAACCCTTGTTAAGCCTAAAATAAATTTCAAATAAAAAATGGCCAACGCTCTTTTTCATATTTTGCCCCACTTGTTTGGAATAGGCTTCCAAAAACTATCAGAGAAGCAGAAAATCTAGAAATTTTTAAGAAGAAACTAAAATCATTTCTATTTTCATCATATTTCGATTAGACAGAATGCATCCAAGCTGTAGATCGTTGTGAGTTTGTATGTGCGTATGTGCATATGTATGTATGTGTGTATGTGAGTATGTATATGTGTGTGGTGCGTGCGTGAGTGAATATGTGTTTGCATGAGTATGTAACACTATGTATCTTTAAAATTGATTTGTAAATCCATTATATGTATCATGTTAAGCGCATAGAGCATTGCATAAGTGGATATGCGCTATATAAATGCAATCCATTATTATTATTATTATTAATGTTACAAGGTTGCAGATAATGATTGAACAAAAAGAAGAGACAATAGTACAAAAGTTTCCACACTTTGTCTCCGGTGTTCCGATGAATAATAATAAAGGGTGATAGTCAACTCTCGAGGGAAACCCTGGGAGACAACAAAAATAGACGGCGGAAATACGTCAGCTGATCTATATTTGGACCAATCACAGAGGTGTGCTAGGTGCTCTCTATAGCTTCATGTGTTTGTATTAAATCGTGTATTTGGAATTCTGCTGAGCAAGTATAGACAAACCTGTCATAAATTCAAGAAGCAGGTACCGTCAAATTTGTCCAAGTCCAAGATGGAATCATAAAGAAGCCAGAAAAAAATTGTCTCATTTTCGTTTCTGGACAGGGAAATTTAGGCGGAGAGGGGGGGGGGGGGGAATGCGTCATTGTTCCAGAGGCAGAAGGCCAGAACATTTTTAGTTTATGGTGGGATCAGGGGTTGCCTGTCTGATCAGCAAACAGTTAGAAACAGTAAACAGTAATGAAAATTTCACTCCTCCCGAGTGCTTTCCTAGCCTCTCTGATGTGTCAGGTGTGTTGGTCAGCAGTGTTAGTCTTACTTATCCATTGTTTACAGTGCTTGCATCTCATTTGACCTCTGTTTGAAATGTAACAATTCAAGGAACTTTTTTCTCTGCTTGGTGTACTATCAAGGCGGCAGACATTGGTCAGTCTAATTTCACACTGTTGGCTGCATAGAAAAGTTTCCTTGCTGGAGCACCATTCGAGTACTTTCACAAACAGTACAGTGGTGAGATTTCACACCCACACTATCTCACCCTGACCATCTGCACCCTCATGGATGGGGGAACAAGGACCTTGGACTACCCCCAAGTTGCACCCTTTCCCGCTTCCCCGCCTGGTGGCAGAGCATAAAGTTTGTAGCTGATGGAATCAAACTTGAGAGTTGTTTCAAATCAGGGTTGAATGGGCATAGCATTTCCCACCTTGGACTTAGTCAAGTCAATACCCTTCAAATTCAAAGGGAAGGTATTTCTCTTTCTGTTTTCGGGTGGAGTACGTTTCTGTTTTATAATAGAGGTTAGTTTAGAGGAATTTATCAAGGGGGAGCAGGGAGATTTCAGAAAGGCAGATTTGACTTTAAAAATTAATGTGAATAAAATGTGCATATCTGGGTATTAGTTCATTCATGGACCCATTTCGCGCTCTGATTTTTCTAAAGCACTTTTTCATGGGCCTTATTTCGGCACGACAGTAGAGTTTATTGTTTATTTGTGGGCTCCATTGTTCCTCATCAGACTGGAGGTGCAGCCTTTGACCTTAGTATGTTTGCGAGAGGGTGTTCTCCGTTGATCTCAACAGGAGAGATAAGGATTCCTTAGCCAGAATATGGACATGCTTGTTTCTGTGGATGCCTGCATGGCTACCTGCACAGCTACTTACTCCATATATGCTTTTCCTGTTCAGCCAAGGAGTGAATCCTTATCGATTTTAGGGTTTTAGAGTTTGAAATTAGTGAAATGAGACAAGACAAGGGATTGGACAGAATTTGTAAAGAAGATTTTACTACAGAATCCAATGCCATGTTCCTGGTAGTGGCCTATACAGAGAAAAATAGAGGCTCCAGGATGAAGCTTCCTCCGAGTGTTGCTTTAGGATTGGACAGTGGTCCCTACAGCTGAATTCGATTGAGTTTTGAGTTTGAATAACTTAACTTCAAATTACTTACTTACTTACTACCCATTACGCCATCTGGCGTTTTAGGGCAGTAACAAAGGATCTCCAGCTCTGTTTGTTTTGGGCCATCTTGGTCAGCGTTCCCCACGAATGATTCCAGGACTTCATTTCAGACTCTACTGTGCCTCTCCATTTACTTCAAAATGTATACACAATTATGTTCCGATTCTTACAGTTTGATTTTTAAAAGTCATAAGAAAAATATTTTTAATTTGATGGGAGGGGGGGTCGGCTCTGGTGGTCTAGAGGTTACGATGTTCAGCTCTCACTCAATAGGTCCCGCGTTTGAAACATGACAGGAACAGAAAATGATGTTCTCCTTTCACCTCCTTTCCTGCTCTCTGACCATGCTCTGTCTTCTGCTTTCGTCTCCACTTTTTGCCGCCCCCTTCCTCTGGGCTCCTGAATGTGAATTAGTTATTGTAAAAAATGCTTATATAATATTTTACTGGATAAAAAGTATGACCCACAAAAGGGAATGGGAAGTAATTTCCTGTTATCTCAGTATGTCCCATAAAAAAGGGGACACAAAATACTCTGTGTATGCAAAATGTGGAAGTATGGGGAGGGCTAGAATTTTAGATTTGTACACTTTCAGTTTGTGCTGAAAATATGAGAAGTGCATTCAAATTTAATCAAAATGCAGAATGGTATAGGTCATTGCTGTAAAAATGGATATTTTTTGTCTTTTCACAGATGCCTGAAATTCAACCTGCTGAAGAGATGGAGGGGGAGAAGGAAACTTTTGCCTTTCAAGCTGAGATTGCACAGTTGATGAGCTTGATCATCAACACATTCTACAGCAACAAGGAAATCTTCTTGAGAGAGTTGATCTCAAATGCTTCTGATGCCTTAGACAAAATCAGATATGAATCTCTGACAGATCCAAGCAGATTAGACTCTGGAAAGGATTTGCAAATCAGAATCGTACCTGACAAGGAGAACAAGACCCTCATCATTGAGGACTCTGGAATTGGCATGACAAAGGCTGACTTGGTGAACAACCTAGGAACCATTGCCAAATCAGGTACGAAGGCTTTCATGGAAGCCCTGCAAGCTGGGGCTGACATTTCTATGATTGGACAGTTTGGTGTAGGTTTCTACTCTGCTTACCTGATAGCTGACCGTGTTGTGGTGGAGTCCAAACACAACGATGATGAGCTGTACACATGGGAGTCTTCAGCTGGTGGTTCCTTCACAATAGCCTCTGGCACTGGAGCCCCGCTGGCTCGTGGTACAAGAATCACTCTGTATGTCAAGGAAGATCAGGTGGAATATTTGGAAGAGAAAAGAATTAAAGATGTTATCAAGAAACACAGCCAGTTCATTGGTTATCCCATCAAACTGTTGGTGGAGAAGGAACGGGAGAAGGAAGTTTCTGATGATGAAGAGGAGGAAGAAAAAAAAGAGGATGACAAGGAAGAGAGCAAAGAAGAGGACAAGCCCAAAGTGGAGGATTTGGATGAAAATGATGATGAAGATGCAGAGAGTAAGGACAAGAAAAAGAAGAAGACCGTCAAAGAAAAATATAACGAAGAGGAAGAGCTGAACAAGACCAAGCCTCTGTGGACAAGAAATGCTGACGACATTACGCAAGAGGAGTATGCTGAGTTCTACAAGTCCCTTACCAATGACTGGGAAGACCATCTGGCAGTGAAACATTTCTCAGTAGAAGGGCAGTTGGAATTCAGAGCTCTCCTATTTATTCCAAAGAGGGCTCCTTTTGATATGTTTGAGAATAAGAAAAAGAAGAACAACATCAAATTGTATGTACGAAGAGTATTTATTATGGACAACTGTGAAGATCTCATTCCAGAGTATTTGAACTTTGTGAAGGGTGTTGTGGACTCTGAAGATCTCCCTCTGAATATCTCGAGAGAAATGTTGCAGCAAAGCAAAATTCTCAAAGTCATCCGAAAGAATCTGGTCAAGAAATGTATTGAACTCATTGAAGATGTGGCAGAAGACAAGGAAAATTACAAGAAGTTGTACGAACAGTTTGCCAAAAGTTTAAAGGTAAGTTGGGGCCTTTAATGGCAAAAATTGTTGCTAAAATCACAAAAGTTTAGGAAATAAAACAAGTAAGATTAGATTACGTACTACACTTAACATCAAAATGTTTTTGTCATAATTTTCTCAGGACGATGATAATGGTACTTAATGGCAGTGGTTTTTATGGGTTGAACTTGTTTTTGTATGGGGTAGTTTTGTGATCGCTGTCTTCTTGCATAAAGTTTTTGTCTCCATCAAAAGAAGATACAGTTTGATTTTTTTTTTATGGCAGTGTCTTTAGAAATTTATTAAGGGTCGTGCTGTAAGTTTAATAGGTGTAACTTCATAAAATTTTGTGAAGTAAAATATAAGCATTATTTTATTTTCATTTGCCATATATTGGAATGCTTTACGGTAAAGTAGGATTCTCTGCATAAGTCATGCTCTGTTGGGCTGTCAAGCCAAAAGTGGATTTGAAAAAATTAAGATGTCATTAAAAAAAATGTTAAAACTTTTTAGCCGGGGAAATAAGTAGGCCTTAATTTTTTTCCAGCTCGGCATTCATGAAGACAGCACGAACAGGAAAAAGCTGGCTGACTTCTTGAGATACTATTCATCACAGTCAGGAGATGAATACACGTCGCTGAAAGACTATGTTTCCCGAATGAAGGAAAACCAAAAGGACATCTACTACATTACTGGTAATGAGGATAGCATAATTTTCTTTGTTTAAGGGGTGGGTGGGGGAGAGAGAATATTTTGCTTTTGTGTTTCCAGTCTCTTTGCTACCAATGGGTGCCCATTTAACCTCTTATGTACTAACCTTCCCATGTCATTCTTTTGTACATTGTAGAAGTAATTTTTGACCGTTGATAGTGACCCTGACACATTTTTCTCACAAGAAATAGAAAAGAGGCTACAGTTTAAATGAAAAGGGATAAGCAATGTGTTTTCTCTTTTGACACTTAGAGGCAGATAGATAGATAGATAGATAGATATAGTCAAACCCCTTTATTGCCTACCTTGGGACGAGCATGAAGTTGACGGTGCAATGGGGCTAGCGGTATGACGGAATAGCACAGATTATCATTTTAGCTAGCGGTGGAGTGGTAGAGACTATAGAGGCAAACTGTAGCCAGCTGTGACTCATCTAGATCTGTCTTGAGAGATTGCCATGTGCAAGGAAAAAAAACGACTATCAACTAGTTATATGTGCAGCTCTAGCTGAACTTAAAATTAATTCAGATTGAAAATTTCTGTTGGATCAGAAGCGAGGCTATACGAGTCAAAGACCCCTGTAAACATAGAGTTAAATTGTTTTTTTTACCTGATACTCACCGATCCTCAGACTGCCTCTGACCTTTCATGCAGATTTGAGTGTTGAGTCCTCACAATGTAAAACTTGGTCATTTGGCTAAAATCGGGCAACGCCAGATATTTTTACAGTTCTAGGGTTTTTTCAGGCAACTGAAAAATTTCTTATCATATCTTATTAGAATTGGTACATAATTTGCCTAAAATCCTTATTATTATTATATTATTATCCTAAAACCACACATCTTAAAAATGCTAGACCCAATACAGAACCAAGGACTCCGCCTCGCTCTGGGGGCTTTCCGCACTTCTCCGGTAGAGAGCCTCCAGGCCGAGGCCAACATACCACCACTCTCACTCAGACGCACACAACTCTCACTACAATACGCAGTAAAACAGAGCTCAACACCGGAAAATCCAGCGCACAACAGCATTTTCGAAACAACCCAGAAACCAAAACAAATTCCAAAACAACGAAAAACTCATCAAACCCTTCGGCCTCAGAGTCCTCGAGGACCTCAAAAACTTACACTTTTCCAAACAAGACATCCAACAAATTCTTTTCCCCGACCTCCCTCCGTGGCACCTCACCAAGGCAAAAGTAGACTTACAGCTGACCACGCACAACAAAGAAAGCACAAACACCAAAACTTTTTAAACAGAATACAAAAAACTAATAGATAAATACCCCGGTGCGGAGCTCATCTTCACGGATGGCTCCAAAAAAGACAATGAAGTGGGCGCCGCAGCCGTATCTCCCAACAATACACACCAGAGGAGACTCCATCCTGAAGCCTCCATTTTCACTGCGGAGGCCACTGCCATTGACATGGCACTGGACTCTGTAGAAAATTCTCCTAACAAATCTTTCCTTATCCTTTCTGACTCTCTGTCTTGCATCACCTCACTCACAAACTACACACTCTTACACCCAAAAATAGTTAGGCTACAACAGAAAATTCATACACTATCCGAAACAGGAAAAAACATCATGTTCGCATGGATACCCAGCCATGTGGGCATCCGAGGAAACGAGCAGGTAGACGAACTGGCGAAGAAAGCTTCATCCCTTCTCCTGGGATCAACGACAAACACTCTCCCACAGACTGAATTTAGAAATAAAGTCAAAAAGTACACCTCCAGTCTGTGGGAGGGCCACTGGGAAAAGCAGAAAAATAATAAATTATATGAAATTAAACCCAAACTAGAACAGCGAAATCCTTCGGACCTCTCCAGAAGAGACGAAGTCATTTTTACTCGATTGCGCATCGGACACACGGCCATGACCCACAAATACCTCCTACAGGGAGATGAGAAGCCGTTCTGTGTCGGATGCGACACAGATTTTACCATTAACAGAATGTCTAGACTTTGGAGAGATCCAAAGGAAGTATTATAAATGCAAGAAATTGCAAGATATTTTTTCCGTCGTTGTTCCCAGCAGAATTTTGAATTTTATAAAGGCCATTGGCCTTTATGGCAAGTTGTAAAATGAAAAATGAAAACGTACTATTTAAAATTTTTATTGTTACCTATAAGAGTTGTTTTAAATCACAAATATATTTACACTAAATTTTAATATTTTAACATTTTAGCATTTTAAAGTCAATTAGTTGACCAGTCGTGGAGTGAACTTTTGCGAAAGTAAACAACTTGTGTTTCGCGCGTTCATATGACCTTAGCAGTTGCGAGCGCCGTAAAACCCTATACTACATACATCCTTATTATTATGTATGTTTTAAATCTGCTATAGTGTGAAAATTATTTATCAGAACGCCGAATACCTAGATTTCATTTTAAGAAGTGAATGATTTAAGTTTCAGATATGTCATTCAAATGCAAATTAAGACAAAACTGAGTAAAAACAAAGCTATACTTTACTTTCACTAGTGCCTAAGTTTTCTGAAGAAAGCTCCTTTTCACTTGTCTGGTTTGGATCATTGATATCCTATTCAGAATCACTTAGCAACAGCTTTTCATGCGGCCAACAAACACAAGACGACTCCCACTTCAATCAGAGTACAAGCTTTCCAGATGTTTCTTCCCAAATTCAGGCCCAAGTTTAGCACCATTGTGTCAGTGGTATGGTAGTTGTAATTAAGTTTTGTTTAAGACTTCTTCTTATGAAATGCTATGCTTAAAGTGTAGGAGGGGCTGTTATCAAATTTCCTCCATAATGCTTGGCTTTGTTTCCTTTCATTTTTGACAGGTTAAATCGAGAGCAGAATGGGTGTGCTTATATGACCTTATGAAGTTGCGAGGGCTGTGAAACCTTACTAAAACTAAAAAGCAGAATGGGTCTTTTAATTGATCTTTTATAAACTTGAGTATATTGTCGAGAAATATTTGTGCCTCTAAGTATATTGGGGGTAGCTTCAGGTTCTTAAGCAAAGATGACGATACATGGATTGCCTTGTTGCATTTATGTATGCATTCATGTGTTAAAATATACATATATATATATATATATATATATATATATATATATATATATATATATATATATATATATATATATATATATATTTGTCGAGCGGGTGAAGAAGAGGGGATTCGAAGTGATCTACATGACTGACCCTATTGATGAATACTCTGTGCAGCAGCTGAAGGAGTATGAAGGCAAAAACCTTGTGTGTGTCACAAAGGAGGGCTTGGAACTCCCAGAGGATGAAGAGCAGAAGAAGAAATTTGAGGAGGCAAAGGCTCGGTTTGAAGGACTTTGCAAAGTCATGAAGGAGATCCTTGACAAGAAAGTTGAGAAGGTAAGCTATTGTTCATTTAGTTTAGTAAGAGTTTTACGGTATTTGCAACACCAAAAGGTCTTTATATGTAAGTACCGAAGATTGGAAGTGTTTTTAGAGAATAGAAAGAAAAGAACGAGGGGGCTCTCGTTGTCGTGTTCGCCTCTCATTCAATAGGTCTCAGGTTCGAAACCTGACAGTAATGGAAAATTTCTTCTCTAAAATGTTCACCTTACTTGCTCTCTAATCATTTTCCAGCATATGCTTTCCTCACCACTTTTGGCCTTCCCCTTAATGTCTCCCATGCGCTCACATGACCTTGTGCAGTTGCGAGCAAGGTAAGACTCTTACCAAAACAAAACATGCTATGAAAGGAGCAAGCAAACCACCCCAGACCACATACCAATCACCCACTGAGCTATTGTGTGGAGAATCAAATGGTTTTGATACTGTGCCTTATGTGGCTAGTAGTGCTCTTTGTCTGTCCCATGTCTAGTTTTCGAGCTATAGCTACCTACAAAAGAATTGCCCTAAGATCTTACAAAATAACTTATATGTGTAGAAATTGCCTGCTAAGCATGGTGGCAAAGTTTTAAGCCTACAGATGGCCCTTTTTTTAAAACTTCTTTTTGTAGATGCATTGGTCATCATCGAACATTGAAGGAAGAACTTTTTTTTTTTTAACTCACTGGAGACTGGGCCTTTTTTGGGTCTACATACACACAAGACTGGTGTTTTTGGGGTATTTCAATACTTCAAACAACACCCTTCCCAAAGACATACAACTAACATTTTTATACACATAACAGATCTAGACATGCCCAATATGACACAAAAAAACAGAAAGGCAATATCTTTTATAGTTTTTTAGAAATGATTTTTTGAAAATGTGCTAAAATTTGTTGTTCGCCAAAATTTTTTGACGTAATGTCTTGTGTTAAAAAAACAACAACAAAACCCCCCAGTAATTAATCTTGTGTGTGTCTTTTATTGTGTTTTGTATTTCAAAATGAATAAAAAGTCCAAACTCATGAATAGGCAGGTAATCGATATGGTAATCCTTGTGTATTAGCTGTCTAATCCACTTCAGTGTGAAAAAAACAGGGCTCTAGACAAAGCGAAATTTTGCCTAGTCTAGATCTAGAACATTCGCTATCAGAATCAGTGTTTTGATGCTCATTTACATTGAAATCAGGATCCCCATGGTCTAAAATATCATAATCAGAATTTTCTGAACTGCCAAAGTCATACAAACACTTGAAAAATGTTTGCTTTTCGTGCTACCAAGTGGGTGGTTGGCGGGTGCTCTGGTGTGGTTTGCTCCTTCTTTCCTATCAAACATCTATCGTCTTGATCCCTTTTTTCTTTTTTTGTGTTTGTGACTCTCTTGTAACGCCTAATCTTCGACCTTATTGTGATGCAAGTGCCGTAAAACTTACTAAAACTAAACGTGCTGCCATCGTACTGACAAAGTGTTGCAAGAACAGACACCAGTCAGAGAAACGAAAGTAGGGCCTCGGTGTGACTAACTTTCCTTTCGGGTCAATAACTCAAAAAGTTTCCAGCCAATTTCAGTGAAACTTGGCACGAAACGAAATGAAGGTCGGCTGCACGGTAAGAGACGGTTCGCACAACGTTTGCGCGCATACTTTGCCGAGGAGAAAACGCGAAACTTGTGCTTACAGGGGGTGCGTGTACCGCCTCTCGGGGAAATATTGGTGCTCGCAAATGTTGCGTGAACCGTCTCCAGTGAGTTAATTTTTAAAAATAATTTTTGGGAACCAATAAAGTTTAGCGGGTGGGAAATTAGCACAGATTTTCCCTGTTCAAATGGTCAAAGTCATAAATTTTCCAAACTTTATGTTTGTAGATCTATGTTCAGTATTTATATTTTGGGGATTTAAAAATGTTATTCATGATTTCCATGTTTGGAAAACATCTGGATGATGCTTCAACTACTTGAGGTTTCAGTTACTGTAATAAGACCATTACCTACCAATGTGCCATAAAATAAATTTGGCTTGTTGTTGCTGTGGGTTCTGGCAAGAATAGTTAGAAATTGATCCTGACCTTGTAGTTGTGTACCTGGCTTATTATTGTACTAATGGAGACTGGTGAATCTGGTCTTGATAATGGGCAAGGTCAGGGTTTGGTTTGAAACTTCCACCCTGATATTGTTTGAGACTTGGCTTAACACTTTGCAGTCACACAGCCAGCAGTACAAAATACCCCATCTGGTCACCCAGCCAGGAGGGCGACTACAACGGACTTCTCTGGCCTGGTGCAGAACTGCGCCAGGTGACCGGAACAGATAATGACTGCAAAGTGTTAGAGATTTAATGTTAGAAGAATGAGTTCAGCAACTTTGATGTTCTTTTGATATTTATTGTTGGTATTTTTATATGTAAATGATTGTGTTAAAATTTTAATTTTTCGAGAATGGCATTGAGAGTATAAGCCTATCTTAGATTTTTAGAGAAAGTGCCTTTGGGGCTAAGTGTGTCTCCTCGAAAAGATATATTGGTTGATTCCTTTAAGTAACCTTCAATATCTCTATACTATATGTAACTTTTGAAAAGCTGAGGCTTTTATTAAAAGACTTTATAATTTTATTCATGGAATGTTTACTTTGCTTGTTTTCTTTGGAAAAAATTAGTGCACTCCCATGTAGTCCCATGTAGTCTTTTTCAGGCAGTGGGCCATTAATGTAAGAAGCAGGAAATCAAATTTTACCTACTTTTTTGCCTCTTGTTATTTCAAGACTAGGTCGTCTTTTAAATTGTAAATTCATGTTACATACATATATATATATTACTGTCCTTATACTACAGTACTTTACTTGTTCTTAAATTTTGGTACTCTGTCAACTGTGTTATCATGGACCAATAGCTGCAGGCGGGAGGAGACAGCCAGCAAATAACAATTTGGGAAAGTGAGTCGTCGATCATGGTATAGCAACACATTCTTTTACTCTCCTCCTCAGGTCGTTGTGTCAAACCGCCTTGACACATCACCCTGCTGCATCGTCACCTCTCAGTATGGTTGGTCAGCCAATATGGAGAGAATCATGAAGGCTCAGGCGCTGCGGGACACCAGCACCATGGGCTACATGGCAGCTAAGAAGCATATGGAGATCAACCCTGATCATCCTATCATCAACACGCTGAAGGAGAAGGTCGATGCCGACAAGAATGACAAAGCTGTCAAAGACTTGTGTTTGTTGCTGTTCGAGACATCACTTCTTGCCTCTGGTTTCAGCTTGGAAGATCCTTCTTCTCATGCCAACAGAATTCATCGAATGGTCAAGCTTGGTTTGGGTAAGCCATACTTACAGTTGTTCTTAGAATTGTAGATTTTTTTTGGTCAGAAAATCATTGCTATACCCAGACATGCTACTCATCCCGATTAAATCGGGATGTCCCAATTTTTTTTCCGCCCCAAATCGCAAGCATCCCAATTTCAGTCATGTGTATCTCACTTGTGTAGACACTTGGGCAAATTGGGCGGAGAGTGCTTGATGTGATACTTCAGGATTTTAAAAAAATTGATTATAAAAACACACGCATACACACACACAAACACCCAGGGCGTATAGGGCATACATGAATATGTTTATGGACACCCCAGGAAAATTTTTAGTCAGCTTGGCAGTCACCTTGGTGATTTGTCATTGATCTCGCTTTTTCCCCCCTGAGACCCTGACTTTTAGATTTCATAGAGTGGCAGGTCTGTATACCGATCAAATGAGACGCAACAGAGGAATAAAAAGCCCCAGATTTTTCATGACTGATGTTATCTTATCTTCTTCAGATTAGCAGAATGGTGTACAGTATGGCCCCTTACGCTCATCAGAAATTTTTCCCAACATTTGAAGTGATAATACCTACTCTGGACTATTACATTCTTTCTTAACAGTATCACCTTCTGTTATATATGTAACTTGCCTCTTAAATGCTTTCTCCATACTTGTAAATGATTCTGGCTCCAGAAGGTAATTTTCTCTTTAATACATCTTAATTCACTGTAAATGGACATCTTGTCTGATCATTTCACTATTTTTTAACTTTAAGGGCTTTTGTTATGTGTAGCATTACTTATCACTCTAGTGGGAGCATAGAGTGCCACCAAATTTCTTCCTTTTATCTCTGTGTTTGGCGAGTCATCTAAGCTTATTTTTAGAGTCTTTCATACCTCTGGTCTTTCGCATCTAGTGTTCTCTAGTGCTATATATACCAGTTTTGTGTGCATGGTTCTGTTGAACATTCAATGTTGTGTAGGCTTTACCAAGTGATCCAAGTTTGTTTTTGTTTTAGGTTACAGCACGTTTTCTATTGAATGGTTTAAAAATCAAGATTAAAATTTTTTAAAATATTTTTTTTTGGGGTGGAAAAATGATAAAATGCTCTTGGTATTGAAATAGATTCCTGTCTCTAGAAATGTTTGTAATACTGATGTAATATTCCTGTGTAGTTATATTGATAGGGATGTTCCTTTTATCCAACAGGCATTGATGACGATGATGGTGCCTCTGGTGATGCTGCTGACGAGGCTGCTGCCGGAGATGAGATTCCAGCTCTGGAAGGAGATGATGATGATGCGTCTCGCATGGAGGAAGTGGATTAATCTCCTAAATTTTGCCGTTGTTTGGATTGTTTAATTTGATTGCCTTTTCAATCCTAATGTACTGTGAAAAGCTGCTGTTTTCTACTCTTATTTGGTGTATTTTGTAAAATTATGATCCATATTTGCTTATGAGCCAGCCTGTACGGTAGTCTCATTCACTTGATAGCACTTTTCATATGTCATTTAGTTTTCCTTTGGTTTTGTCTTCAAATTGAACATTCCAAAAGAACAAAACAAACCAAACAGCTCAAAGACCAAAACAGGACTACTGCCAGTTTTTACACACATCTTGTTTATTTATTTATTGATATTGTTCCAGTTATTTTGAGAATTAATAAATTTCATCATGTTATTAATTTCAACAATTTGGATATTCATTTGTCTTGTCCCAAGTCCATTGCAAAATTTTAAAAATCCAGTTGAAAGTAGAGCTCATAAACCCCTGAGCAGGAATTAAAGAGAACTATAAATGATTGGACTGTCCGATAGTAACTGTAGGCCTACCACATTCACCAGGTTGAAGTGAGAGAAAATTTATGTAAATTTGTATGATCTCAAGAAAAGCTATTTGGTCTGCCCACACTGAACTGAAGTTAATATCATGATGCAGGCTTCACTGAACCGGGTGTGTAATTTCCTGTCAAGAAAGAGCTGCTTGAGAAATCTATGAGGCTCAAAGAACTGGAAGTAAACTCTACTGCTCTTTTCAACACAAGAATTTTAGGATAATAAATTCTCACTTCTTTTCTCCTGGTATTTCATCTCGGGGGCTTTTGAAAGGTATTGTTTACTTCTCTGAATGAAAGTTGTACTTTTCTGTCTTTATAAATCCAAGGCATTGCTGTCATTTCATATTGCTTACAAGTTACTTGTCTACTCTGGGTTTTTTTGTGTCAGGATGCAGTGAAATCAGGCGTTCTTCTATTTTTGGGCATGTTGAGTTATTGGTATCGACTGAGAGCTTATTCATTTGCTTTGCTTTTTTAACACTTTGCCATCACGAGGCTCATATAGTAAAAACCCTTGTCATCAAAGGCAAAGGCATTTTGGGGAAAATCCAATGAAACTGGTGGTCTGTGTGTGTGTGTGTGTGTGTGTGTGTGTGTGTGTGTATGTGTGTGCATTAATGTTTATTGCTTGAGAAGAAAGGAAGTAGTAAGAAAGGTTTTTGAAAAATGGGTATTCCAATGTAAAGCGCATTGAGCTACTTTTTTTGGAAATGCGCTATATAAATGTTATATATTATTATTATTATTATTATTAAACATCGTCGATCGGCAAGATCTGGCGGCAAAGTGTTAATGAAAAAAAGCCATCTATCTGGAATAGAAGTCAAGATATTTGCGTTTAAAGGAGATGAGGTTGCCTGGTTTCAGTGGTGAAATTAACGAGAAAATGGCCCCCAAAGTTTGGTGACTCAACGTTTTTCAGTAAAATTCACATGAAATATGTGAGGCAGCGTGGTGAAATCGGGCGCTTGTCAAAATTATGAAATCAAAGATACAGGAGTTTTGCCAGTCTGGCAATTTTTATGGAATTTTTGTTTTTTTGGCTCAGCACCTTGTATGCCTATATAAAAACACATTTCCATATATGTAAATTTTACTGAAAACATATTAAAGGCACAAAATATGTAATTTTTCAGTTTTCAAGGACTCTCAAGCTATGAAGTTATCAAACTTTGGCGGCCATTTTCTCATTAATTTTTCCACTGAAACTAGGTGACCCCACCTCCTTCAGTCGCAAATACAGTCGAACCTGCCCTGACGGCCACCTCTATAAGGCGGCCACCTGTACAAACGGCCGCTTTCCATTTCCCCCCTTGCGTTTTTTCTATATAATTTAACTGTGTAAAACGGGCACCTGTCCAACGCGGCCGCGGCCACAATAATTTAACACACAACCCCTATAATACTAAGCAATAATACCTGTCTAAGATGGTCACCTTAGTGACTCCATTACATTTTGTCATAAATTGTGCATTGGCCCCTGGCGTTGTGGGCGAGCCGTCATAATTCAATCACCTGTCGTTGTTGTTAGGTAGTCCCTCCAACCGATCATGTTGCGTAGGCCCCTCCCACTGTTGACCAATAGCTACCAATTTTCAGCTGTTGGTGAGGTAAGCGTGTGATCCCTCATAACCCATAAGCCCCGCCCAGAACTCGTTCACAAATCGTAAGTGAGATGAGTGGTCACTGTTTACCCAGTCTGTAACAAAGTAAAAAAGGACGTCAACATGAACTTGTTACAGAAGCGTCCCTCGTTCTCCGAGTGGTGGCGACCCATGTGTTTGTTTTAACACGGCACTCGGTCTTCCTTGTCTGATACATTTCGATTTATTGTCACCATTGTGCAAAATCAGCGACAAAACAAAAATTACAAACGAAATACAAACCAACAGCAACAACACCAACAAAGACAACAACAATGGGGCTACTTTCGATTGGGGCCTCAGATGGGAATGTTTGTTTCCTTTATCTTGATCAGTCCTGCCTAAGACGGCCACCTGTCTTATACGGCCACTTTTCTCCTTGACAATGGGTGGCCGTCTTACACAGGTTTGACTGTATCTCTACTTCTAGTCAAGATAGATGTGTATTTTTTTTTTCATTAAAAGCAAGGCCAATGAATAAGCTATCAGATGATACCAGTAACTCCACTTGCCCCAAAATTGACGAGCGCCTGATTCCACCACGTCATGACACATATGTTTTTCTATGGACATAAAAGGGGCTGGGCCAAAACCAAAATTTCGATAAAAATAGCTTGCTTCTATGATTTTGTTATTTGGACGAGTGCCTGATTTCAACATGATGCCTCATAATTGCTTGCAGATTTCATAAGAAACAAAATTAACCACATTGTGTATGATACCTTCCTTATGAACTCGTATATGGTTGAGGGGCTCCTGCGGTAGGTACCACTTTTTTTCTGCCTATCCCTACTTTTTCCACCAGCATCTTTGGTGTGTAGCTGTTAGGTGCTTTGCTGCCACATGCAGGATAATTTTTATCGAGTATCTCCGTCTTTCTGTTTGGATGTTATATCTGTCTCAGCCCGAGTTAGCCCTGACAAGCAGGTTTGGAAGCCCGCCTCCTTAGCCGTACATTATATATATATATATGGACTATAATAAATCCCCATTAGGCTTGGTGGATTCAACGAAAGGAGTTTTTATACTATACAAAATGACTCGGATTCAATGAACGCATAATTAATGAGTGAACTTCGATTCAATGAAGTTGCAATGAACCTTATCTACTTTATTCCAAAAGACCACTAATCGCCCTTGCACCGTGGATTATTCCATGCTTACTTAACCTACTGCATACATCTTATGCGGCCGTTCAGAAGCCTTCTTTCAAACCAACACATGTGTTGTTGACATGCACTTAAAACATAACATGTCTTAGTGCAGGCCAGGGTCAAGAGAGCTGGTCGGGTTTACATAAAAGAATTTCGGCTGAAGAAAGTCAGCTGAAATACAGATGCCTCACCATCATATATCCTCTCCCCCTCCCTCCCCCCAGGGCTACATTACAGGACAAAGAATAGCTACTCTTACTCCAGACATGGATCGTATATGATGTAAATCTAGGTAGTGAATTACACACTGGTTCTATGGAAACAGATGATTGTTACCGTATGGTAAGCCCTACATTGTGGCGCTACGTTGTTGCTCACATTGCTAATACTAATACTGAAAACGAACAGATTCAACAAAATCGAAGGTCAAGCCCGATGACTTAGTTCCGAGTTTCACTGTACTGTGTTTAAGTAATTCTTCATTCAAACAACCAAAACAAACATCTGAACACTTTTACAACCATGGATTATGGATGTTTGGTGAGGTACTGTGTATCTAAATGGTAGCTTACTTATAACCTGCAGTTCTAGAATTGGCACCTCAGCGAAATGTGCGTGTCATTAGTGTCAAAAAGTTGAACGCTTACCTTTTTTTTTTTACTGTACAGAAAACTTTCATTCCCAAAGGGGGGATATTAACATGTTTTTGTGCACAGTAGAATTGTAAATGGACTGATTTATCAATGTCATGCTCATTGTGCCGGAACAACATAGGGGGAACTGCTGCTTTTTCTTTCCTAATCCTTACTGTTATTACTATCGTCATTTTTCCTCTACTTCTTTCGTATGTTTGTCACTCTCTTGTGAACTGCTATTTCCAGGGTGCCTTGATAGTCGAAGCAGACTTTGTGCTGTTGAGGCTAGAGAGGTGAGCAGAGTAAGCCTGATTCCCCGTTTGGACTTCTCTGTTAATATCCACCCCTTGGCGCTCATATGACCGTATGCAGTTGCGAGCACTGTAAAACCTAACTAAAACAAAATAGAAAACTTTCAGTATTTCAAAGAATTCCTGGGGGCGAGTGGTTGGAAGATACCTGTGGTAGGTTTTATGATCTTTAGTGCGATCAAAAATGTGTGGTGCAACTTATTCTCAAATATCTCTTTTAGTCTTTAACTGATGAATCAATGTCATCCATACTTTGCATAGCTCTAGCAGTTTGTATCAATTTGTCTTGTTAACTAAATCATATTTTTCTAAAACAATTGGGGCTAGATTAAAAATCTCTTCTTCATAAATTTATATAAAATAGGCCTACTTGAAATCACACATAAAATGGTATTGTTCACAGCACTTCCCGCTTCTAACACATATATTTTGATTACGCATATGGCCTACGTCATAGCTCATCAATGACAATTTTTACTGAAAGTTTCATGTCAAAAGGATGAAAACTAAGGAAGGAGTAGGGAAAAAACTGCACAAAAATTACATTTTTTGAAAACCGACAATAATTGTGAAAATTCACTATATTAATCCATCCTCATGTTTTTAAAGGAAATTTACCTGGAGAATAAAGTCTTTCTTAATTGTATCCATGCTATTTTTAGACAAAAAACGGGTTTGTCTTAAAAAATCAGCCAATATAAAATGTGCATAGCCTGACTCAAAATCTGCAAAATCAAGGGTCCCCTTAACTTAAAAAGGAAAATTTTTCCGCCATGACAAGAAGGCACACAACGCGGATAGGTTGAACACAGAAGAGTGGAAACCACGCATCTGTCGAGCTGTGCCTGCAGTCCCGTTTTTTTTTCTTCTTTGTCTTCGTAAGATACCCCTCAACTATGGATCCCTCGAACTACTGAGGCCGGTCAAGACGAATTCGAGCTATCCGTGTTATACTGTATATCATAATTAATTAGATATTTCCCTTCATCCAAATCTTGATCAGATAGCCCTCAGGCTTCCTGCATGTGAACTTGACAAGTTTGCAGAGTCATGGGTAGGAGAAAAGGGGATTATCACTGTATTATTACCTGTATTGCCTGCACACCCGAC